GTACTGAAAAGTAACATCGGGTGAGGTAGCATAGAGTCCTTCATTTAAGTAAGTAGGTCCGGAAACATTCTTCTGCTTGTCCAGCGAAATGCTTATTAGTCTGCAACTCCGTACACTAAAAAGATGCCTGGCCTAGTCTAAGCTTACAGCCTGCAATCGTGCGCAACACAAACTACTGGTTTCACGCTTACGCCGCCATGTTAATTTCCGAAGTTTAGATTTGCGGTAGGAAGATGACGTCACAACCATGATCGGAAAATGCTAATCATTCGGGTTTACTTCACCCTATGTTATCTAATGCCGACAAAGCAAACATGCCATTAGGGAAAGGGATGAAAAACATCTGCGCATGCGGTAGAGACTCACGGTAAGAAACGCGGGCTCACACGCGCGCTTATTCAAACTCAATAAATTTTGCGGGAAATGAACAGTTGTTACAAAAATAAGGAAGCCGTTAAAAAGATAAGGTTTTAATTCTCATTTTTGAAAAGAAGATAAGAATTTAAAAAAATTGAGAGTGTGTACAAATTGTACAAAAATTGTTCTCGCGCCCCAAAACGGTCTTTTGTGCAAAGTTTCAAAACGGTTGCGAACTGGCTCAATTTGCGGCAACGTTTACAGTGTCGTGTTGGCTTTTTCTGATCACTTTTTCGTCCGTTCATGCAAAACGTTGGTTCGTCGGTAAAACAAGGAGTAATAAGAAGCTTTTTACGGCACTTCTAAGCCCCTGCCACTTGATTTAGCGAGAGCTGTGACCTTGCCTGAAGAAACTCCAGGTTGTTTACATCATCATCGTCGAACGATCGAAATTCGAAAAGCAAGATAGTCGCTGCTCATTGCCGTTTTCCGACCGACATTCCAATTAATTAAACTTAATTCCCGTAAGCCTTTTCGAAATTTTGGACATTAAGGGAAGAAAGAAAGCGAGATATTTATCAGGGAGCACGTGGTGTAACGCCTGTGAAATAACATTGTTTTAACAAAGTGCCGAAGGAGACTGAGGTATGGCGATAACAGATGGATTTCGTTATGAACTATGTTGACTCAGAATCATGGATTTGGTTTTGTTTTGATTTACATCTAGGAAAGTGGCTCTTTAGGATTGGAAAAATTACGAAAAAAAAGCCATTTATTTTTTAAGTTAAGTTAAATATCTGTCATTGCAAAACGAATTAGTGTTAATTTTACATAAGTAAACGTCCACTATTTTAATTAAGCTAATATTGGAGAGAGGGAATTTTTCTCTCGTCAATATCTTGCAATAGTTCCATTATTTGCTGTGTTGTCAAAATAGCCTAGTTAAGTTTTCATAACATTAAATTATTTTGGAATTTACTTTTGTGTCTGTTATTACCATTCAAATTCAAGACAGACACCAGTAAACCAATTGTAAATCAAAACCAGTTGAGACCAACCCATCCTTGACTCCCACCCCTCATCATATCAATCAAAATATTCAGTTCAAATTTTTTTTTTTAACTCAAAAAAACTTTTTTTGGCTCCCTATACCTAACATCTTCTATTCCTTTTGTCGGGAATCGGTTTTCGCCGACAAAGAAACTCACAATTTCTTGATTTTAACAGTTTTAATAGCCCAGCACAGCCTAGCTGTCACAATTCTTTTTTTTTTTTACTCTCTCCCTCTCTACTCTCACACACTCCCACAACTCGTCTCATATATCAAAGGACTCAAGGTTCAAACAGGCGAATTTGACGTCTAGCTGTCATCACCGGAAAACAGAAACTTGCGTAACGCAACTCGCAGTCACGACACTTTTACCACCTACTTTTAATACTAACCAACATGTTATTCATCTCCTTCATTCCTTTACCTCTGATTATGACTATCTCATCTTATTTCATTCTAATCTTCCTTATTATTATTATAAATTTTTGTACTGCCTTGAAGTGGCTGCCTTGCAAATTGAATATAAAAATAATGAATAAACAAATTTCTCAAAGAAATCTTTAAAAAAACAAACAAACAAACAACCAACCAAAAAGGGCTTTCCAATTTTATAGAGACTTAAGATTCCTTTATGGAGTCCTTTACAATGAAAATCTTTCATTTTCCTTTTTTTCTTCTCTCGTGTATCTTTTTGTCTTTTTATGTTGTATTTCTTCATTTTCATTTTATTTCCGGTGTAATTATATTAAGTTAAGAAAAATTCGACCCACTCTCTGCAGGTCAAAGGAATACCTTGTAGATATATAAGAAAATAAAATAAAAGTGTGGAAGTGTGGACCTTCAATGCTAGTACCCAATTGAACTACTGATAGTTTTTATTTTAATGCTGCCTTATGACTGACATAACTGCCTTGCAGTTTGTAGGTCCCTCAGTGCAAATTCTCTATTGAACAACTAACCTTTTATTTTCATCATTTCACACTTTCAACACTTGCCACCATGTGCGAAGAAAAGGGGNTCACCGCCGTTCGACACGACGAAATTGACGCATTCCACAACCACCTTAACGAACAAAACACTGACATACAGTTTACCAGAGAAGTCGAAGAAAATGGCAAACTTCCTTTTCTAGACTGCCTGGTAAGCCACAACGACAACTCATTACGAACGACAGTTTACAGGAAACCGACACACACCGACAGATTACTAGACGAGTCATCCTACAACCCTACATCACACAAAGCCACAACTATCAGAACTCTAACACGACGCGCACAACTAGTATGTGACTCGACAGACAGCTTATCCGACGAGAACAAATACCTTCACCGTGTTTTTACGAAGAACAACTACAACAACGACTTCATCCGACGAAACACTCACCGACCCACTACCACTACCGAAACAAACGACACCGCAACCCCTACGACTACAGCAACCATACCGTACATAAAAGGCATGTCTGAAAACATCTCGCGCATCTTACTACCCTTCAATATCCGCGTCGCCCACAAACCCATCACCACACTACGTCAGTTACTAACCAACGTTAAAGACAAAGACGAACCGAGGAACAGACAGGGAACGATTTATAAGATCAATTGTTCCGACTGCCAAGCCTCCTACATCGGTGAGACTGGCAGAAACCTCACAACAAGACTGACTGAACACAGACGGGCGACGAGGAAAGGTGATGTCAGCAATCACATTGCTGAACACCATCGACTTACCAACCACAACATTGACTGGGACTCTGCGCAATGCCTAACCTACAGCACTGACTATTTTCAACGACTGACTCTGGAAAGCTGGTTTACTAACTTAGAACAGACTCCCCTAAACAGATGTCAACAACTACCCGCCCCATACAAACGACTCATTCACGACATAAACATCACAAACGACCGAAAAAGAACGACCTAACTTTACCGACAGATCGAAACAGACCAATCACGACCGACTTACGTCACTTGAGTCTTACAGCCAATAACATCACGGCAAAACCAACCGATCATTTCACACGAACTGGAATAAGAACATTCTACTGACAACAATCATTCACTTGACTCTGATGATGACTTCCGCACAGGTTGTCGAACGTCAGTCACTACCACCGACAACAGTCCTTCTCAGGACTACACTCACCCGGACAATCAGACTACACCTTCACATGTCATCCCCGGGTTCAAGCCATTCACTGCAATACAAAATTTAGAACCGTAATCCTGTTATAATGCCACACACATAACAACATTGAGAGTTTGAAAATTTATATAATATATAAATGTGAGGGTAGAGTCTACCTTGGCAAAAAGTGCTCAATGCTGTGGTAGCAGAGCTAAGCACACAAAAGTTAAAGAATCAAAGAGGACACATCGATTCTCTGTTACTCTGAGTTCTGTTCAGTGAAGAACATACCTCCTTATGTACAGTAGTTAATTAATTTGCGGGTGTGATGATCAAATGTACATGTGTTAATATTCTATAGGGCTATTGCTGGCAGCTTGTGAAATTTGTGAAGTTTGATAAGTAAAATTTATTCTCGTATCAGCATTTGGAAATGAGTTCTGATCTTTTGTTTTAATAGAGACGGCTTCTTAGCTCTGATTAGATAAAGTTTTTCTGTAAGGCACAAGTGGCACTGCTTGCTTTTGCTGCTGTAGGCCAGGGCAGTTGCTAAAATACTCCAGTTAATTGTAAAATTGGTGTTGTCTTTGAGTTTCCAGAGATACTTTGATAGTTCCATGCTGTTTGAATAGTTTCTGTTCTTAAAAGAAAGTTTTTGTTGCATGTAGCATCGTTTAAAAGTTCGTTCTGTAAGTCCAATGTAATTCTTTCCGGTTGTGTCTTTCTGTTGTTCCATAATGTCTTTTTGTTGTTATGTTGGCGTTGTAGACGATGTTTGAAGTGAGGCAGTTGTTTTTCAGGGGGCAGTCATTTTTTCCCTGCATTTGCAGTTGTTTTCTGTGGAGGGTGTCTTGCTTGTCTCGAG